CCCGCACATGCCAGGCGAGCGTGCTACTGCTTGAGCCACATCTCTAACCTAACCCATTTTTTAAGTTGTGTGTTATAATTTAGAATAAGATATTTAGCTTTTGAGGGCATCGCTTCCTGTATTAGTGAACCATCAGTTACATAGGTCTAGGAGAGAATCATTCTTCAGTCTTACAAGTGCAGAAGTTCTGAGATGGTGAGAAACTACAAAGAGCCCCCTATGACTGTGCAATGTTATGTGAGGGGGAAGAATAAAAGTCCACGTAGTTATATATGAACTTACTATCCCAAACATGGCCTTTGAAAAAACATTTAATCTGCTATTATCTTTATCTTTCCTTGACACAGAGATGAAGGAAATGCACATTAATTTTTCCTGAAATTAAGAGCTAAATTGTGGGTCTGGAGATGTAGCTTAGAGATAGAGTGCTTGCCCAGCTCTGGGTTTGATCACCAGAAGCAATAAAAAATGAAATCCTGTGCTGTTATTCAAAGCTGATTATAAGTTTAATCAGGGTGATAGCTGGAAGACTGATGGGTAAATAGAGAAGAGTTGGCAGGATCATCTGCATCTGGCTATATATCTGAGATTGTTTCCATGCTATTTTTTATGACTCAGTTTCTCAGTTGAACCTGAGAAAGTGAAGATTCAAGTTAAAGGAAATGATGTGAGCAAGTAGAGAAAGGAAGGCAGTCTGCATTTCTACTCTTAGCTATAGAACTGAATAAATATTTTAGTTGAATAAACATGTAATACACATTACATGGGAGACACTGCATGTGGCCTCCAAGATAATATTTATAGATAGAATTAACTGAGGATTTTTAAGATGGAGAAATCCTATCCAGTTAAAGATGTAGATGAAGAAGTTTCATGAGGGCTCATTTTAATAAATTTTTTTTACAACACTATTGAGGGGATAGTTCATGTACAATTAACTGCATGTTTAAAGTTTACAATTTGAGGAGTTTTGACATCTATACAATTTTGAAAATAACACCAATGTCAAATGAACATTTTTATCACCCCCTGCCCCCAAAGTTTCCTCTACTCTAGTCCTTAGTCCTTGATCTAGGGAAAAATTCACTTAATATTTTTTCTAATCCATGAATATGTTACATCACTCCATTAATTAGTTCTTATTTATCTTAATTAATTTCAATTAATTTTCTCAGATTTTTTTAAAGTTTTTTTTTTATCGTGGGACTTACCTATTTCCAGTTAGATTTAACCCTGAGTATTTTGTTTTCTGTTGTTATTATGAATTGATTTTAAAGTACATTTTCTAATTGCTTGTGCCAGTGTATAAATAAATTTCTATCTATTAACTTTATATATTTGATCTTATTAGTTCTAATAGTTGCTTGAAGATGCCCTGGAATTATTCTATATGAATAATTATTATATCAACTGGAATAGAAACAGTTTTCCTTTCCCTTTCCTTTCCTTCCCATGGCTGCTTCTCCTCTGTATCTGAGGGTATGACACACACAGGCTACATTTAACTGAGCCTACTTTTTTTTTTTTTAAGCTCTGACAATCTCTGCTTTTTCATTAGCACAATTTTGTTAAACATTTTAACATGTAACTGATAGAGTTGATATAGATCGACCTTATGTTTTCTGTTTGACCTCTATGTTTTAGTTTATCTTTTTCTCTCTTTTCTTTCTTTTAAATTATTTGGTTCTATTTTAATTTATGTTTTGGCTAAGGATTTCAACATATCTCCCTATGCTTTGCAGTCTACTCAGTTATTATTTTATCACTTCATAAAATATGTAGAAATCTTTCCAGTCATTCCCTCACTATTCCCCATAATAGTAATATGAATTAAATCTGCACACATCATAAATCTCAAAGGATAGCATTTATAACTTTTGCCTTAAATAATCAAACATGAGTTTTTTAAATGTGAGAGCAAATATTGTTTCTTTTGGTTTTTTTGGTACTGGGGGTTGGGCCCAGGGGCACTTTACCACTGAGCTCCATCCCCAATCCTTTTAAGTTTTATTTTGAGCCAAAATTTTATTTTGTTAAGCTCAACTCAGACTGTAAGTTCCCACTCTCACCTTCTGTGGGTAGGAATTCCAATTTGAATTTGATTCTTTAGGCTTCTGATTTGATCCTAATCTGTATATGCATGATTCAGGGGTCAACTTGAGAATTTTGTAGTGTTTCACACCCAGGATTGTGGGATCTCTTTTGACTTTATTTCTTATGGGATTTCCTTCTTTGTTTGGTGGCTGGCAGTTGACCTGTTCTCTTTTCTCTGGTTCCCCTTGCCAGCATTATCTGTCCATGCTTCTAGTACCCAACATTGGGACCAAGCTGTATCAAAATAGGAAATTCATACACATGTTGATCTCTCCAAATTCTGGCTTCTCTCCACAGTCTGCCTACTTTATTTCCTCAGAATCCTTAGATAACTGTTTTTTCCTCCCCACTATAGTTTGTATTTGTTAATTACAGAAGTTTGGTCTGTATGGGTATCATACTGCTTTATTGGAAGTGGAACTTGACACGACGGCAAAAGATACCTTTTACAAACTGACTGGTGCCACCCAGATTAGATTCATTGATACTGAATTTGGTTTTATGGTTTTAGTACATTTTGGGATGCCTAGACCCACTGGCTTTATTCATCAGACTACTTGTTGCCTGTTCATAACAGAATGAATGCACCTAAGTAAAAATAAATGCCAAAAACCAAAAAAAAAACCTTTTTTTTTAAATTGGGGGTTTAACCCAGGGGTATGTTACAACTCAGCTGCATCCCCAGCCCTTTTTATTTTTATTTTTATTTTTTTTGGTGGTTTCGATAACTTGCAGAAGCTGGCCTTGAACTTGGAATCCTTCTACTTCAGTCTCCCAAGTTGCTGGGAATACAAGTGAAAGAATATTAATTAAAGGATTTTTTAAAATTTACTGTCTAATTTCTAATAGCTGAAGCCACAAATCTGTTTGGGAATACTGTGCCTCATACTAATATTGTGCCTCATACTAAAGTTGTCTCCTTTTTCATTAATCACCATTAAGTATTCCTTTGCACATTCTGGCATCTGTAATCCTAGTGGTTATCATAGTAACTAGCATTTATTATGTATTTCAGGTACTTTTCATAAATTATTTCAGGTACTTTTCATAAATTATGTAATTAATGGTTGCAACAAACCTCTAAAGAAAATGGCACAGTCCTTGTATAGGTGAGAAAAAAAGCATAAACATAGAATAATTTGCATGAAATCACCAAGTACAGGCTTCTCTCTTTCTATCAGTGGGGGAGAATGAGAATTAGTGAACCAGTACTTTGGACTAAGATGACTCAGTTGAGTTAGGGGAACTCGAGATTTGCAGCTTTCTAAAGTAATCTGCTGGGCTGGGGATGTGGCTCAAGTGGTAGCGCGCTCGCTGGCATGCATGCGGCCCAGGTTCGATACTCAGCACCACATACAAACAAAGATGTTGTATCTGCCAAAAACTAAAAAATAAATATTTCATTCTCATTCTCTCTCTCTCTCTCTCTCTCTCTCTCTCTCAAAAATAAATAAATAAATAAAGTAATCTGTGTGTTAATTTAGATATAACTAAGTTAGTGGGCACTAAAATTGAAGCAAAGACCTAGTTATTTTTGTGGTTCTTCCATTTATATTTTTTAATTCTTTTCATTTTCACTTGATTCTTAATGAGTACCCAGCACCTTCATGCTGGACTCTTGCATCTTTTTCCTTCTTTTTCATTTCAATTGTGTTCCCTGCTCATTATCAAGTTTGTTGATATCTGATGAAAGAAATTCATGCTGAGGAATTTAGTGATTAATAGATTAATCTTTGAAATGTGTCTCTGTAAAATTGTTCTCTTGCTCTTTCATTATAATCTTTCTTCTTTTGGTGTCTAGTGCTTGGGATGGAATCCAGGGCTCATGCATACTAGGAAGCACTGTACTACTGAGCTACACTCCCAGCCCATTTCATCTTTTTTAAATGCATATCCAGTTGGTATCATGTGTAAGATAAGTACATTTTGCCAGGGAGATAATATGTATGAGATTGGCATCATAGCCACATGTTATTTATCTTTGCTATTCTTTAACTTTCACCATTGAAATTGAACTTTTGAGGACTCACTAAGGTAATCAAATTGTCTTGCAGATAAGAGGTGAATTGTCATAATGTTTATAAATTCTAAATTCTAGATGTAGAAAACCTTCTGTATTACTTTTGACAGGATGTGATCTTTATAAATAATGTACATAAACTTTTATATTTAGAATATTGTTCAGTTACTCTTAACCACAAAGTAAGAACAATAAAATAATACCTGAGATTTCTCTTTCGGGCCAAATTCTAAGCTGATAGGTCAGGTTGGAAGGATGTACAACTCTTGTTCCACAAGGTTATTCAGATATCCAGATTCTTTCTAATCGTGTTTTTCTAGTGTTTCTCAGGGAATTTTCACCTTTATGGTTAAGCAAGAGTATCATCACCATCTCTACTCTATTTTGCAATGAAAGGGAATGAGACCGCAGGATAAACAAGTCCCTTGCAAAGATGTGTTGCAGAAGTTGCACACGTCACTCTTGCTCATATCCCATTGGTTACACCTTATTTACATGGCCCACAGCTAGCTGCAAATGAATCTGGAGAAGGTAGTCTCTAACTGGGTAGCCATGAGAAGATAACTAGAATTTTATCACTAAAAGGGAAAAGGAAAGAATGAAAAGAGAACCATTAGCAGTCTCCATTACAGAAGTTTATTTATAGTTTTTGGCAACCTATCCTGTAGCCCATTAGAAGAGTTGTTAGAGAATAGCTGTAATAATGGACTTTGTGTTATCAGATCAGTAGCATACTAAAATATAATAGAAGTCATTTCAGTAGCTTATTATTTTCAGAAACAAAGCACAGAACCGGATGTTGGAGAATTGATGAAATCCCTTCAAATTGTGTTAAAATTGCTGGATATATGAGATAATAATTATTTATTTTGTTCTTATATTTTAGGCCTCAACTCCATATAGCATAGATTCAGATTCTTTGGGAATGGAGTGTATTATTTCGGGAAGTGCCTCTCCAACTCTGGCAATCAACACTGTGACTAACAAAGTAATTTCATTTTTTAAACATTTTTTAAATGTCCTTGAATAATATATTTAATTTGCTTTTATAATGACAATAGAGTTTTAAGGTGGTGTAGATTTGTTTACCCTGTACATGGAGCTTTAAAACCGAATCCAGAATGTTTTACGGTATGCACAAATTAAAAGAAAATATTTCTCTGGAGAAATTAGAATGTGCTTATTGTGAAGTTATATACTAATTTAAATTCTTGACTCTGCTAGTTTCTGTTGTTAAAATATTTGAGCAAGCATTTTATTGGATCAATTTGTTTCAAAACCTTAGTTACATCTCCTCATATGTGGTTGAAGATAAGATAATCAAATTCTAGGGAGTTAGCAGACTCTAGTATAATAAATACTTGGGCAACCTTATAGGGCTCATTGGAACAGTGGTCAATCTATATTTATGGTATTGAGGTCTAGGAACATACCCAGAAACAGTATATGGTAGTCTGCTGCATTTTTTGTGATGCAAGGGTTAAAACTTTGTGCCAGGTCATTAGATAGGTAGTGGGATACTAATGTCTCTTCTTTCAAATAGTATTTAAATCTTTACGAGGTAATATTTTAATCTCATATCTTAAAACTCTAAAAAGGTCTGGGAGGTTCATGAAATAATTTAGTTTATGCATGTATTTCCTCTCCTACCAGAAATGAATTTCTTAAAGCCATATCTCATACTCAACGCTCACACATTCTCAGTCTTACTCTCACTTTCCTCCTCTAGCTTTCACACACACTTTGTTCTGTCTTGGCTTTTGCTGGCACTTGCATTATTTCTCTCTCTTTTTTTTTTTCACTTGCTCAACAAACACATAAATACAAATACCATACATATTTACACCATTATAGTAATATAGTATTCATAGAATCTTTTTGTTGGTAAAATGGATAAACAGAAGACAGGTTTACAGATAATCAGAGTGACATAATCAGATTTCCAATTTAGGAAAGAAACTGGCAGATGATGTATAGAGTAATGGTTTTTCCCACACGACAGTCTATGTAATGATCACATCACAATCACTTAGGAAGGGCTTTTTCCCCCCCTGCTGCTGGTGGTAATACCAGGATTTCAATGCTGTTCTACCAAGTTTTACTCTATTCTTATGAATAAGGTAAGGCCTAGAAATTTGTCCTTTTAAACATCATATCTATTCTGGCCAACTAGCCTGGAAAAATTCTGGTGAAGTGGTCTGATTGAAATCAGAAATTTCTAATGCTGCTCTTTGCAGTAGTCTGTTAGAAATACTAAGAGCCTAAACATAGGTGGTTATTAGGAAGCAGTTAGAAAGTAGTAATGCTGGGATTTTTTGAGGCAATAAAGTAGTGTCAAAGGGGATGGATTTTTGGACATCTCCTTTTAGATACAGAGTAGCTAGTATCAGAAAGACCTTTCTGCCTATCTATAAAATACACACACACACACACACACACACACACACACACCACACATACACACACACAAGTCATGTACATGATAAAAAAGAGGAAGGAGACAGTGGGACCAAGACAATTTTATAGTTATTTCAGGGACCAGGATCTTTGAAAAGGTGAACACATTGAGATAAGCCCTGCAAGTTTCCTTGTAATTCGTGGTCTTGCCAGAAGGATAGTACCATGGTAAATACTGTAGGTTTTCAAGATGTTACCTGACAGAGGTTTTGTTCTGTAGCAGCATACAAAAATAGAATAGTTTCAACTATTTTAGAATTCTTGCAAGAAAAAAACTAAATTTTGTTTGGCGGAAGATAACACCATCCAGAACTTCTGTGATGTTATAAATTGTTGATTATAATTTCATACCTTACAAACCATTGCTCTGGATTACTTAAAAAAAAAACAACTAAAAGAATATACAAGTACTAATAAAAAAAATAATAAATCCTTAGCTAATCCAAAAGTAGGAAGAGAAGGAAACAATGGGAGCAAAGAAAGACAAATAATATTTAAATCTAATTACATTAGGAATTATATTAAATGTAAATACATTAAATACTCAATTTAAAAGATTATCAGGCCAAATTAAAAGACTCCCAAATTAAAATTGATGAGATATATTTTAAATGAAAAGAAAGACATATTACTAAAAGTCAAGAGTTATTTTATTATGAAGACTATGTTAATATTAAACTTATATATATATCATGGAGTTTTATTTAGCTATAAAGAAGACTGAAATTATGTCCATTTGCAGAAAAATGGATGGAATTTGAGAGCATTATGTGAAGTGAAATAAGCCATACTCAAACTTCTTCAGGAAGTTAAGAGTCATGTTTTTCTCTCATATGTGGAAGCTAAAGGGAAAAGGAATGGGGTGTCAAGGTGTGTGTAGTGGGGAACGTTTCATGAAAATAGAAGGGAGACCAGTGGAGTAGATGAAAAGGAACAGGGAGAAGAAAGGGAGGTAGTGGGGAATGAAATTGACTATTTTTTTTTTATTGTTGTCGTTATGTGCATGTACAAATCTGTAACAGTGAATCCAACTATAATGTATAATTACAATGCATTGATAAAAAGAATTTTTAAAAAGATATCTATAGATAGAGCCTTAATAAATAAATTTAGCAAGGATTCTTATTAGAAGATCACTATTTGATTTTAGGAATCAGTCGTACTAACCACAGGTAGAAAATAAAATTTAGAAGGTTACATTTATGTTAGCAATTCAAAAACATTAAATACTGAGGATGAATTTTATAGAAAACTAAAAATTACTGAGGTAAAACAAAGAAAGTATAACTAAATAGATGTATAATTTTCATGTAGAAAACTATTGTAAGTGTGGTATTGGCATAAGAAGAGACCCAGAGCAGAATTAAGTGGTGCTAGATCAATGGGGAAAAATAAAACAACAAGCACATATTGTGTATAAAATTAATTTCAGGTGGATTTAAGACCTAAATATAAACAATAAAATAATGAATTTCTCAATTAGACCCCACCCCCCATAAAACAGAATAAATTTTAAGGAAAGATGGATGGGACTGAGGGTGTAGCTTCTATCCTTGGAACAAAGACATAGAAATAATCACCCTTACAACAAAGCAGAGAAAAAATGAAGTCTTTAAGTGACATTAAAATACGAGGAAAGAAAGATAAATAAGAAACTGTAAGTATCTCAGTCAGAAAAGTGGGGAGGGGGCTGGGAATGTGGCTCAAGCGGTAAAGCGCTCGCCTGGCATTCGCGGCACGCTGGGTTTGATCCTCAGCACCACATAAAGATAAAATAAGGATGTTGTGTCCACCGAAAACTGAAAAATAAATATTAAAAAATTCTGTCTTTAAAAAAAAAGAGGGGAGGACTGAGGATGTATCTCAGTGGTAGAGCATTTTTGTAGTGTATAAACTGCAAATAAAGTTGCACATGATTTCAGTGTGTCTAGAGACATAACTAGCTCCACCCCTAAGTTCATTTAAAAAAATAGAAATTGTAAAGATTAAGAACAGATATTAATGCAGTGAAAAACAAGACTTTGTGAAAAGAAATCACACGATATATGATTCCACTTATAGTTAGTTAGCCCAAAACAGGAAATCCTAACAGTAATGATAGAAGTCCACATAGCAGTTATCTAGAACAGGAAATGTGGAAGGATTATCAATTAACTTTGAAGAATGATTGTGAGAGTGCACAAGTAGGGCTCTGGACTGCTGGTACTGTAGTGTGTCAGCAATTCTCAGACTTTGATAGGTCTGTGGATGTATGGATAACCAAGACCTTTATAGGGATTCCATGAGATCAAAATTGTTTTCTTAGTAAAAGATATTTTATTTGTCTTTTTCTTTGTATTTGCATTTTTATTGCTGTGGCAAAAGAGATGGTGTGTACGCCTGATGGCATTTTAGGCATCCATTAAGGCAATAACATGTAACTATACAGTCATTGTATTCTTTACTGCTGTACACTGAGTTTTTAAAAAATACGCTCACTTTACTTTGGAAAAGTAGTTTTTTTCTTAATATTTATTTTTTAGTTGTAGCTGGACACAATACTTTTATTTATTCTTATGTGGTGCTGAGGATCGAACCCAGGGTGCGCACATACTAGGTGAGTGCTCTACCGCTGAGCCACAACCCCAGCCCTGTAAAAGTAGTTTTATTGAGTTCACATCTTTTTAGTATACCATGGGATGACATGGGAGGATGCAAGAAGCATTTGTACTACATATTGGCATGCATTGGTTGCTTTTCTTAAAAAACATTTTTGAGATTTGAGTTGGAAGCTCAACTGCCTCCTGTGTTCATAGATCACTATTTTTACTTGAAAGAACAACTGACAATGATTACTTAATTTGAATACTTTGTTTGTCAGATACTTTCTTGAAAATGAACAAATTGAGTCTGATCATTTTAAGGAAAACAGTTGATCATGTCTGTTTCCTGTGGTAAAATTTGAGCTTTTGGGGTGTGTGGGGGGGAGAGAATTTGGGGAGATATTCGCTACAGTGAGTTTGATTCCCAGTTTTTTTTTTTTTTTTTAACATTTTTTAGTTGTAGGTAGACACACCTTTATTTTATTTTTATGCGGTGCTGAGGATCAAACCCAGTGCCTCACGCATGCTAGGCAAGCATTCTACCTCTGAGCCACAACCCCAGCCCCTGATTCCTAGTTTTTAAAAAGATTTTTCTGATGAGATTGGGATGATGTTAAGAAGTCTAATTTTTGATGTTGCAAGATGAAATATATCAACATATGGAAGGTTTACATAATTTGGCAAATCATTATGTTTAAAATGACCAATTTTATGATGTTATAAATTTATGTATGGATAACATGTATGAGGACATGAATGGTGTGCATATACTGTGTATACAACCAGAAATATGAAAAACTGTGCTCTATATGTATAATATGAATTGTAATGCGTTTTGCTGTCATATATAACAAATTAGAATAAAAAATAAATTTAAAAAGTATGCATGGATAAATGGTCCATTCAGAGTACAAGCAAAACAGTATATTTTAATGGAGCCGAGCATAAAAAATTTATTGCCATGGTTTCACATTGCACATTGCAGTTTATCTTTTAAAAATTGCCACTTGAGCCATGTAGTAGCCATACTTGTAATCCCAGTGACTCAGGAGGCTGAAGCAGGAGGATTGCAGGCCAGCTTGGCAACTTAGTGAGACCCTGTCTCAAATGAAAATTAAAAAGGACTGGAGATGTAGCTCAATGTGAAGCCCCAGTACTGCCAAAACAAACATTTGTTGTGTGTTGGGAGTATCAAGGGAGGGTATCCACAGTTATATGTAAAGTTGATTAAAACATTCCTCTCTTTACCATGTTTTCTTTCTGTATTTCCACTCAAACAGTACTCTGGAACAGATTAAATGTGGAAGCAGCTACAAGAATCTCACTGTTTTCTATTAAGCCAGACAGTTAGATTTATAAAGATGTAAAACAGTTCTACTCTTTGCATTTTACTTGTTTATTGGGGAACATATTTTCATATTAACGTGTAAATTGGTCTTATAATTTTTTTTACATGAATTAATTTAGAATTTTTAAAGTTATACTTTCAGATACTCCAGTTTCTGATAGATGTATTAATATGAACGAAACTCTCTTGGCTCCTTAATTTTTAAGACTGAAGAAAGAGGTAGGAGATCAAAGTTTGAGAAGTACTAGTCTTTACTTTGATCTGGGTAGTGATTGTGTGGGATATACATCTTGCAAAAAATAAAATAATTTGTGCAATCTACTCTTTTTATGTTGAAAAAATGTTTATGCTCTATCCAAGTAAAACAAAAGGAGTTGTCCAAAATGATGAAAAGTATTTCTGGCTTGAGTGGTAGGTAACTGAGCATGAATAGGAGAGAATGAGCAGCTGAGAAAATAACCATGGGATGTTTGAAATTTGTTGTTAATGTTTTATAGCTTTTAAATTATTCATAGAGTTCTATAGGGTTTGTTTTGTGAAATTTATACTGTAGTTATTCTCCAGAAAAATCCTGGCCCAAATTTTCTTTATTATTTTTTTCTTTTTTTTCCCTAGATATTTATTTCCAGCACATGTGAATGTGGGACAGTTTGGGTTTTGCCTTCAGTATAGAGATATATGTACCTAGTTTTTCATGTGTTCAGCTTTTCTTTTTCTTTTCTTTTTTTTTTTGGCAAATGTTAATGAGCATTGAGCATAACCCTGTTTTCAGCACAGAGAGGATGATCAGTTAAATTAGTTGGTTGCTAAATTTGAGAATCTCACTGTTTTCTATTAAGCCAGACAGTTAGATTTACTAAAATTTACTAGTAAATAACTGCATATAGAGCAGAAAGCTGTATGTTGTTTTCAGTTATTTATGGGGATTTCAAGAAGGTAATAGTCTAGTGGCAGATAAAAATTTGCTACAAATTAGTTAGAACATAGAGGCAAATTTATCAATTATTCTCATGGAAGAATAAGTATTGGAAGGAAAAGTGGAGATTAGCATCTGAACAGAACCTTGAAGGACATGTATGGCTAGTTTTCTGTTAGCTTTCTTTCTAATTTAAAACTACAATGATTATTATAGAAGAATGACAAAAGTCTACAGCAGTTCCCAGCCCCTGCCGGTTAACCATTGTTAAGAGTTTAACATCTAGTCATTCACATCTAATGTGTACATTAGCATATTATTTTTTAAAATTAGATCACATATCTATGGTTTTATGTGTATATTGGACATTGTTTCTAATTTGTAATACCATCAACACTGGTGTGTATGTTTTTTTTTTTTTTTTTAAATCCTAGAGGTTTTTTTGTTTGTTTGGTGTTTTTCATGCCTAAGATTTTGATAGAACAGTGAGTTTGTTTAAAGTTTAAACAAAAATAAATGTGTACATTATAGAAATGTTTAATAGTAAAAACCTATAATCTTATTACAGGCATAATTTTTGTTAATTATTAATTAGGTTTTTTTGTTGTTAATAAATTTTGCCTGATAAATTGAATTTATGTACTTCTAGACAGACATGACCTTTAGTTGAAGAGTATTGAGCAAATTATTTCATGAAGAATATGGAGTTAAAAATGAGAAGCATGGAATTTGATTAATAGGAAAGACCACTGATGTTTTGTCTTCTTGTCACATGCCTGCTCAATTGTGTTTTTTGTAGAATTGCTGTAAAAGTACTTTTTATTGTAGGAACTATTTATTCAGTTGATGTTCTTCTTTTCATTCCAGGTAACATTGTACAATACTGATCAGGATGGTAGTGATAGCCCACGCAGTAGCCTTAACAACAGTCTCTCAGACCAGAGTTTGGCATCTGTTAATTTGAACAGTGTTGGGAGTGTGCATAGTTATACACCGGTAAGTCTTAGTGAGGCTGGCTTCTTTTTGGATAATCATTTAGTGCTTGAACGAAACCAAATTTAATTAAAATGCAAACAAAGAAATATCTTTCACTAATCAGTTTATTAATTTAATAAGTAGAGCAGACCTCTACCTTGGTAATGTTTTAATTTGGTACTTGTATTTTACTGAGTTAGAAAGAAATATGTGGATGGTTGTGCTGTATTAAACACTTTATCTATTCTGTGCCTAAACAAAAAGCAATTAGAGTGGGGAAAAAATATACTTTAGTGAATCATAGTTGATGATATTCTCATTTTTCTTTTGGGGGGGAAAAACAATGCTATAAAGGAACCTGTGTATAAGTAATGCCAGTGTGCTAATTTGTTACCAATTACATGATCATTGGATTATCTGATATTTCTTTGCAAACATGTACTACTATCCTTACAGTTGGGCAGAGAATAAAGCCTAAGAATTGCACACTACATTGTTCATCAGTATAACTTCCATCTCACCAAATAATTCCCTGTTCCAAAATGAGTAAATAGGAAATATATAAAAGGAGGGACTTGAGGTAGGAAAATAATGCAAGGGAAACAAAAACTCAGCAGAATTAAAGTTCACATTAAATGTAAGAAAAAACAAATTTTACTCTTCAAAATTATCTTCAGTGTTTTGGAAAAATATTATTCTCAGAATGCAGAAGAAACAGAAAGGGAATAAAAATATGTAAAAGAAGACAATAAATAAGGAAAACTAGATTCTTAAGTGCCCGTGCTGAAGAAACCAAAAAAAGTCGTACAGAGTCAGTTTTCAGTAAGAGATCTTGAGTTCTAAGAAAAAATTAGTAGGAAAAAATTTGTATTTATATACATTGTGGCAAATTTAAAAATTTGAAAAGTAATCATCCCTATAAATACCCTGACAGAAGAAATAAGTTACATATAAAGAAACACAAATCAGGCTTATCTTCAGTTCTCCTAAGTGTTAGCAGATAATGGAGTACTGTACAGTTTTGAGGGTGTAGATTTGGAATAACAAGTGTTGTACCCACCCAAAATGAATTAATTTAAAGACTTAGTCCTGATGGAGTCATGATAGAAAAAAGAACATTTGGAGCATTGATGCAAACTAAGCAAAAATTTAATGATTTTAAATTGTTAAGTACAAAAAAACTTGAGATGAATAGAAATCTAAGTATACAGAGTCCAATATCACAAAATACAACAAAAGGAAAACATTACAGAAGCATTTATAGAACTAGGTGACAAAAGTGAAAACTAACAAGTCTGTTATACCTATCAGTTTAAATGGGTTAAGTTTCCCTATTGAAAGGTAGACGTTGTCGACTATATTTTCATTTAATAACAAGATGTGAAGTGGTTAGGTAATCCTTAAGGAAGAGTGGTAGTGTAGTGGCTGCTGCTCCTTGGGTTTGTCACAGGTCTACAAATTAAACCTGTAAAGATAGTGAATCCTCATGGAATGAGGCGGTTTTATTACTTATACAGACTGTTTGAAGTCTATGCAAGACTTACTCTAAGTATATAATGAATCTGTGTAAGTAATATACAAAATGTAGTCATCATCATGTAAGCCAGATCATCATAGTATGAGTTCCCTGCATCCCACACAAAACCAGTAAATAGAAATGACAGACTACAGAAAGTACTGAGTCACTCTATAGTGGAAGAACAGATAGCTGTACCTTTCCTGGGAGACAGATGAGAAAGGTGCAAAGCTGCCCCATGGTTACCTCACACAAGACAGGAGAGCAAATGAGAATTTGCTTTGTAAGACCGCTTGTTATCTCATGTTCCAAGGTAATTAAGCTGTTCCTCTAAGGTTTAAGTTGTCCTCCCATTGTACAGTGCCCATATGGTGTGCATGGTGACTGATAAGGTCACCAGGGTGCCAATCGTGGAGCCATTGTCCTAAATAAGATTCACATTCACAGCATGCTTTACCACTGAGCCAGTTCCCAGTACCTCCTTTGTTTTTTATTTCTTCATTTCTTATTTACCTTCAATTTCATTAAAAATAAAAATTCTTTTAGAAATGAAGAGGTAGGCATATTAAAGCTCCATGCTTTTTTGGGCAATGCCACACATCTGCTCACAGTACTCATGGTATTTGAGTTTATTTTCTTAAAAATAGTTGTATAAATGAAGAAAATGTTAGTAGCTTCATAGTGTAATAGAATTTGACACCAAATTGTTTCTGTAGAAATCAAGATAATTCTACAGAAATGGAAGATTTCAGCTCTTTGGATTTCAGTGTTGTATGTTGACTCATGTTTTCAGTTAAATATGTCATGTAACAAACTAATTGCAATATAAAGCCACCAAGTTAGTTTTATATTTTATATTTTTTTTTTTTAGGTGACAAACCATCCAGAACCAGTCTCTCAATCATTAACTCCTCAGCAGCAGCCACAATACAACCTTCCAGAACGAGACAAGCAACTGCTTTTCTCAGAATATAATTTTGAAGATCTTAGTGCCTCATTTCGGAGCCTTTATAAGTCAGTTTTTGAGCAGTCACTTAGTCAACAAGGTGAGTTTTTTCAAATATCTTTTTTGTAACATGAATTTTATGGAGAAATGGTCTTTTAATTATTTTCACACAACAGTGGTTGTAGTTCCTTAATTTTAGATATTATTATTACATTCAGGATCAGATAATTTTCTTTTGCCTTTTGTGCCGTCATTATGCTCTGTATGTATTTTATCAGGCACAGGGATGGCAGATAAATTTCATCTTGTATGCCAACTTTAGTTGGTTACTAAAGTGTCCTGGAGCACTAAGTTGACAAATTCTGACTATCTATACCATCTGGGAAAGACTGTCATGATTAATTAGTGATATTTGGAATGTGAAGTGTTTGGTGAATGAGGCACCACAAGAATTGATGGGCCTTGCTTCTGTTCTGACTGACATTAACAAAGGGGTACATCTCTTGGACTGTAGTAGCACGAAGTTTGTGATTTTGTGAATGCTACTTATAAGTGAACATACTAGCTAGTGGTAGATCTGAATCATTTTACACAACATACTAAAATCAGATTTTAATCCTGAAAGGTAGTATATAGTATTGCATTCCCACCAGATGTTAGATTATTGCTATAATGTGTTCTTGTTACATTAATAACTGGTTTAATTTTAGTCAGAGTCATTTGTTAGGGTCAAAATGTTGTATTTTTTCCCACATAGAACATTAGTCAGAAATTGTTGGGAACTATACTACTGAAGCATTTCCCAGTTAATTGTCAGGTTAACTATTTATACCCTATGTTTTATTCCTTTCCTGTTGCTATAACAAAATAACCCAAGAGAGTAATTTATAAATAGAAATTTATTTTTCACAAGTTTCTGAAGGCTGAAAAATCCAAGATGAAGATAGATTGGTATCTGGAGAGGGATTGTACTTCATAGATGGCACCTTCTAGCTGTGTTCACACATGTTGGTGAATACTGCATTCTCACATGGCAGAAGAGAGAGAAGGGCAAAAAGGAATTAGCTAGTTTCCTTGAGCTCTTTTAAGTACTAATTCCTAACCACCTCCTAAAGGCCCTAATATTGTATATCACCTTGGGGGTTGAGTTCCAACATGAATTTTGAATGAAGTATACATTTAAACCATAGCACCCCAACTCAGAGTTTACCTGTTGATAACAATGAACAAAACAGACAAAAGTCCTTGTCCTTATAGTTTACTTTTTAATGCTTATTGTCAGATATAAAAGTTAATGTTATATACTAATGTTATACATTAATTGATGAATATGATAGCTTGTATACCAATTGTATTTTTCTTCAGTAGTTTTGAAGTAAGAGTCATGTTTTCTCAAATTTTGTCTTAAATGTTTTATCTATGAGAGTATAAAAAGAACTAATGTAAGACTTTTCTAAACATATCCAGCCTTCATAATATAATAGAAAAATACTGATTTTGAAATAACAATGGTGATAAATTCTGAAGTCCATAGTTCCATTTTATCACACTATTTTTAGAAAGGAGCATTGTTAGGAATTCTGGGTTCTAGTGCAGGTTATACCATAATTCCACCTCTCCATACCTCAGGATCCCCATTTATAAAATGGGGATTGGACTAGTCAGGGGTTTTTATATTGTTCCCCTCAGAGCCCTTGGCTTTTATAAAGATTTTAGAAGGTGAAGGAGGAGAAATGTGCAGATGGAGGGGGAAATCTAGCAGCTTCCTTCCCTGACTTCAGAAAAAGCAACTTTGGGTTTCTGGGGAGATATTTTGCTTTGTTTTACTTTATTTAAAAATAATTTGAGATTAAAAATATGATGTAGGTCACCTATCAGTTCTATCACAATTTTAGAATGTTAGAATTTTATTAGAAATAAATTTTTTATTTCATCTTCCTATGTAATAACCCTTTGGTTCCCCATAAATGACAATTTTCCAAGGCCAAGATAGATTTTTTTTTTTTCTTCCTGGTCCTGGGAACCAGAGCCAGAGCCTCATGCCTGCTGGGAGAGCACTCTGCCATTGATCTACACCCCCAGCCTCAAGAATTTTTTAACTCTTCTACCATCAAAACCTTAACTTGTCAGGTTTTGTTTTGTTTTGCTTTCACTGGGCCCAAGTACAGTTTTATTATTAACTAGAAATATGAGAACAATTTTTATCATTGTTAAAACTTTTGATTCTTTTTATTCACTGATAAATATCTTGTGAAAATTTTTTTTTCCTCCAATAGAGAATGCTTTATATTTGGTGCAGTAAAACATTGTATGGACTGTCCTTTGGGATATGAAAATAGCCTAGTTATGTAGAACCAAATGTTGCTGAAAGATTTACTAACTACTTCAAACCAGACATGCATTATTTAACATTAGGCACTTCTGACCTAATCATTTTCATAGCAACTAACATTTACTGAGCTCTTCTTGCATTTGCACCAAGACATGTAATCCTCACAACTCTTTCAAGTGGGTACTATTACTGTGCCCATTTAGAGGTGAGATAATTGTGGTTCATAGAAGTTAGTAAACGACAGTGGAGAAGTTTTGATCCTTTACTTTCTGGTAATATAAAGTATGCAGTTTTTTAGCCCCTTAACTCCATGTACTTCAAGAATATTCCATAGAATAATGAAGAAGAGTGGAGGTGGCTCTTTTGCTTAGTTTTAGGGACGTCAGCCACTTAGGGTATAATGCTTTTGGAGTAGTCAGAGATAAAAAATATGAAATAACCAGTCTTTATTTCTCACCTTATCTTCAAAGTCTTGATATTTATACCCATAGAGAAACATCCTGAATGTGACTCAACACCTTTCCATGTTTTCCCCAGTATTTACTCAGCTTTGAAGACTTAACTCAGACACTGTGTTTCCAAGGAAGACTTCTCTCTGTATCTCTAGCCCATTCTTAGCTAAATAGACAAGGAGCTAAGCTATTGTAATCCTTTGTATACTTTTGCTTAAGTACTTAAATCGTGGGTCATAATCTTGTTAAATGTCTTTCTCTCTCTAAACCATGTTCTACTCAGGGCAGGAAATGCTGTTTCTTACTCTTATCAGTAATCCCAGAGCTTGGTGTATGAGATGTTCTATAAACACTTGTTAAACAGAACTACTGTTGCTTCCTAAGACAGGAATGCTTTGCTTTCTAAAAATTTTGCAGATGTTTGACATACAGTACAATTGAAATCTGACCGTGAATGATGTTGCTCTCTTTGATTGTTTGTAGGTTTGATGAGCATCCCTTCTGAATCTTCCCAGCAGTCCCACACTTCGTGTTCCTATCAGCACTCTCCTAGCAGTACAGTGAGCTCTCACCCACACAGCAACCAAAGCAACCTGACCAACAGTCATGGCAGTGGCCTCAACACCACAGGCAGTAATTCTGTTGCACAAGTCTCACTGTCCCACCCGCAGATGCACACACAGCCATCTCCACATACACCCCATCGACCGCATGGTTTACCACAGCATCCACAGCGTCCCCAACACACGGCACCACACCCACAGCAACACAGCCAGCTCCAGTCCACTCACCCTCAGCACCCCTCTCCACATCAACACATACAGCACCATCCGAATCATCAGCATCAGACGTTAACACATCAGGCACCCCCACCCCCACAACAGGTATCCTGTAATTCTGGTAAGTTTTCATCTACTGGCATGTATATGGCTAACTGTGAATTAAGATCTGTTCTTTGTTATTTGGGCCTCATGTAGCATTTATTTCAAACCCCTTTCACTTGTCTCCTTTTGTGTTTACTTATTGTAATTCTATAGTTGCAACTGGTTTAACCTATAAGTTGACCTGGAGATTTTCCCAGTTTGAATTTACTGTGGACCTAGGCACAATGGGTACGCCTATAATCCCAGCAGCTCGGGAGGCTGAGATAGGAGAACCGTGTGTTCAAAGCCACCCTCAACAACTGCAAGGCGCTAAATAACTCAGTGAGACCCTGTCTCTAAATAAAATACAAAATAGGGCTGGGGCTAGGGCTAAGTGGTTGATTGAGTTCAATCCCTGGTACCAAAAAAAAAAAAAAAGAATTATACTATGGTATCATAGCCAAACTCAGTAACCTTCATGGGCTTATTCTTTTGGCCACTGCTTCCAATGAGACTTTGAGAAGAAAATGGAAGCCAGGTGTAGTGGCACATGCCTGCAATTCTAGTGATTCAGGAGGCTGAGAGAGGAGGATCACAAATTTGATCAGCAACTTAGCCAGACCACAATGGTGGGGGTCTGGAGGTATAGCTCAGTGGTACAGTGCCTCTAGGTTCAACCCTCAGTACCCCCAAAAAAGAAGTGTGTGGGATGAATAGTCTTTCTAATCTCTTGTGATGCAGTGTGATTCTAAAAGATCAGGTTTGTGTCAGAAAGACCTATGTTTTAATCCTCAGTATGGCTGTACCCTTGGGCAAATTACTTAACTTCTTCTGTCTTGTTATTAGCTTGCCTATAAAAATGAAGCTTAAATTCTGTGGTGTACAATGTCATGAGAATACAGATGCAAAATGCCTAGACTGACACTTTTCATGTAATTATTCATGCCTATACCTCCTCTTCTTATTGTTGCCAAGTATTTGATCTCACAGGATGAAAGATTGTAAAGGAAAAAAACATTATATCCTGCCCCCACTTCCTGTCTCCCCAAATCTGTTGCTCTTAAAATAAATCTTCATGAACTAGTGTGGCAGCATATACCTGTAATCCCAAATCTCCAGGTCAACTTATAGGTTAAACATATACCTGTTCAGGAGGCTAAGACAGGAGGATCACAAGTTAAAGGCTAGTATGGGCAATACAGCAAGACACTTGCTCAAAAGAGAAATTTTAAAAAGGCTGGAAATTCAGCTCAGTGATAGAGGAGCACTCCTCTATTCAATCCCCAGTACTGAAGGAAAAAAAAAGAAAGGTATGTGTTGATGGTTTCTGGCAAGGTTCCTCACTGACATTGTTCAGAAGCCAGACAGTCTTTGCACTATGGAACTCCAAGGGAGTGCCATGGAATGGACTACAAGGTGAATGCAAAGTACAGGTCCTTTCAGGCAGTGGTGGCCCATGTCCATAATTCTGGCTGTTTGGGGGCTTTGAGGCAAAAGGATTACAAGTTTGAGGCCATCCTGGGCAACATAAGAAATATAAAGGGCCTAAGGATAGCTCAGTGTCAAGATTGCTTGCCTAGCAGGCACACAGGCCCTGGGTTTGCTCTCTAGCAAATACATGTGACAGGTCCTTCCTTCAGCTTGTCTAGCTGATCTCTTACCAACTACTGAGATTTTTTTTTAATTTATTTTATTGGTTCTTCTTAGATATACATGACAGTAGAATCCATTTTGATCAAATTATACAAGCATAGGATATATTTTCTGATGAGATCTTTGTCTTAGAAGGAATATTTCTAAATACTAGACAGTGCTGGTTCTTATCCCACCAGTTAAAAATTGATCATCGTTTTAGGCACTTGGACTGTTGTAAAGAAAATGAGCTTAGATATAGTCTCTTATAAGTTTTGGGGGAAGAATTATGAGATAAGGTAAAGAAATTCAAACAGATGTTTAAGTATTTTATTTGACTTTCTTTTTCTGGTTAGTGATTCTATGTTCTAAAGATAAAATAAAAATAGTGAACTGGGTCAGTGGCACCTGCCTGTAATCTCAATGACCCAGGAGTCTGAAGCAGAAGAATCACAAGTTTGAAACCAGTCTCAGCAACCCAGTGAAACCCTGTCTCAAAATAAAAAGTGTTGAGGGTGTAGCTCAGTGGTAGAGCACCTCTGGGTTCAGTCCTCTCCCAAAATGCAAATAGTTCTTGCTTTGGTGGAATATTTCCTAAACATCTTGAAATTATTTTTAGATATACACCTAGAGAAAAAAAATTATATAAAAATCAGCATTTAAACTTCTTTAGGGTCAAGTCAGTTACTATTGCCTGCCTTGAAATACCAGTATGTTTTTCAGAAATTTAAGCCTTTCCTTAATATGATTATGGGGATTGACTAATGAGTAGAGATTGGGCATCAGTAGAAGTCTGTGGTACTCTGTCATACCTGCCTTTTCATTTAGTCTAATGATTGCCAGGAAATAAAAAGGTACTGTTAGAGCTGAGAACAATGTATGATGTGCCTTTGGTAGTCTACTAGCCAGTAGTAGCTTGCCCAGGAAGAAATAGACTTCACTGTGGGAAGGAATAATTATTACAGTTGGGACAACAATTCAACCCTGTGAATGACTCATTTTTGTTTGAAAGAATGGACTAAGCAGGTTGTCTTAAATAGGGAGGAAACAAGAAAGGAATAGAAGTGGTTTGAGTGCTCATTATGTACTAGGCAATATCTCATTATCCTCCCAAATCATCACATTTTATAGATAGGAAAAGTACAAGAAAAGAAAGTAGTTTCCTCAATATCACATTACCATTAAGTGGTATAAGTGGTTTTTATATCCTGACCTGCCTGACTTTGAAGCCTGTGAGCGGTTATTTTAAAAGGAATAAAATCAGTGGACATTTACTAAGTTGAATGGGTAGGGTATGCTCCCCTACTATCTCTGCATAGGTTTTACTGTTAGTATGGCTTATCAAATAAGCATTTATCAAAGGAGCCCTCCTCGTGTATGTGAGGGTGGAATCAGTCATGGCAAGAATGCCCTGGTTCCTAGCATACTATTAGTTTCAGTGGGCCTTTGTGCTACTCTGATCTTCTGATTAAGAGATCTGGATTCTAGTACTGCTTTGGCTATCTATTACCTAGGTGACTTTAATCATAAAATTCCTTTGAATCTTGGTTTTCTTATCTGAAAAGTTCTTAGACTAGAGGATCTTAGTATGAGAGACTTGAATGTTTGTGGCTTGTTTGGAGCATTAATTAAATTCTCTTCCTCCAACAAATTTCTCCCTAAATTTATGGGTTCTTGAGGGAAGGGTGGGTCATGTTGTCTCTGGTTCATTGTTTATTTTTAAAAATCCATATTGGAAGAATTTTTTAAGTAACCAGAAGTTGATATAACTAAGAGTTTCCGTGAGATTCTTTTTCTTAAAAGAATCTTTTTTATTAGCTCTCACCTTCATCCTTTCAGAAGTAATCCTAAAAACAGTAACTTAGCAGCTATCCCTGAATGGATGATTTTCTTCCTCTATTTAACACCTTCTCATTGAGGGCAATTCTTTCTTCATGGTTCCTGCCCAGTGCCCACTTTGTTGTAGAGTATGAAGTCTTAAATTCTCCTGATGATGTCACATTCTGCAGAGGATACCATTTCTAACTAGAAATGTCCTGACCTGGATTCATTAGCATTTCTTACAAAAGTCTCAGCCTTCTCATTCACTACCTTGGCAGAGAACTATGTTAAAGCATTTCTTTCTCTCCTAAGTTTGCCTTTTAAGAAGCATCCACTATTATTATATGAGGTGGCCTATCTCTCTTAAGACAACAGTGCATTAAATTATACTATGTATTGCTTCTGAACGTGTGCCTTTCTCAATGGGAGAGGAAGAGCTTGTCTTTTAAGATTATAACAAGACAGGAAAATGAAACAACTAGAAGAAAGTACTAGTTTGCATAACTTTTTGTGCTTGGTCCTGTAAAAAAAAATGAAAAGAACAGCATCAAGTTTGATGTTACAAGGTGTTATGACAGTTTGTAGGCTGTCTAACTATAAGTTAGAAGACTTGTGTTCAAGTGTTAAGATTCATCATAGGGACCTTGTAAAGTTTAACCACCTCTCTGGGTTCAGTTTCTTTCATTTGTAAAATGGAGAGAAATTATACCCTTTCTACCTATCTCACAGAGCAGATTGTCCTAACACCTGGTAAACTGGGTACATTTCCCTTTCTAAAAGCCTGGACAGGGATCAGCCAGTGTCAGAAATAAGGTCAGCTCATTGCCTTCTCTTAACATACTCTTAAAACTCTCATTATTTGAGAATTACAAGATTGTCAATATTACTTTATAGGTGTTTCTAATGATTGGTATGCAACACTTGATATGCTAAAAGAAAGCTGTCGAATTGCCAGCAGTGTTAATTGGTCAGATGTAGACCTTTCCCAGTTCCAAGGTAAGTACTGGTTCTTTCTTATGTATACATGGTTGTTTTGTCTGGAAGCTTATGTTTTCTTGTAGAAACATCTCATGTAAAGGCATTTCTTTTGCAAATAGTAGTATGCTTAAAAAGAACACTTTGTAAAATTCATAATAAAATATTTGGCCAATTGATGTGGCAGAGGGTCATGGATGGGTTCTGAAAGAAGTTTGACTATATTTAAAAGAATTGTGCTTTGAGTAATCTCTCATTCCTCATTGTATGGGTAAATTTAAAATGAGTCATTGGAAATTTAAGGGCTAAGAAAAATAGTACCTTGCTGTTTTCATCCCAGCATTTGCAGAACTCTGCTAACTATCTTTCAAATGCTTTCCTTGTAGGTCTGATGGAGAGTATGAGACAGGCAGATCTGAAGAACTGGTCTTTAGATCAGGTTCAGTTTGCTGATCTCTGTTCTTCTCTTAATCAGTTCTTTACACAAACTGGCCTTATCCACTCACAGAGTAATGTTCAGCAAAATGTTTGTCATGGTGCCATGCATCAAACAAAACCTTCCCAACACATTGGAACAGGTATGGGCTTAGGAATCTTCTTGATTTTATCTCTCATTTGTATGAAATTCACTCTTAGGCAACTTGTTATGTTGCTAACAAATTCCAAGTTTACTTGGAGAGTCAGGTTTTCATTGTTCAGGCTCTAAAATGGGACCATAAAAAAAATGAGAAATGATAAAAATTTCTCTGTGAAAATAAAAGTAATAAAATTATGACAGAACTCCAAAAATAGTTTAGAATGTTTAATGTAAATTTCTATTTATTCCTATAACCCTCTCTTAATTCCCATCCCCTCTGCCTTTAAAGTCAGAATTTCAAAGCCATTAAAAGATATTAGTCTCCAATAAAAAATCAGTTTTGTCTTTGGGATGTGGCTTAGACTCTGAGGATGTGTAAAAAGAGAGCTAAGATTTTGTAGGACAGAGTCTGGAAAATGTTAATGTATGATTGACCATATTACTCTTAGTATCGTGGCTTCCCCAACCTGGTGCATGCTTTAGAAAGTGCATTAGCCATGCATGTGTTGACTGATGAGCACTTAGGGACAGGATTTTTTTTTCCCCCTCCAAGAATACTAGAGTTGTAACTTTAAAAAAAATTTCTCCTGTCTTTTTTTCCTAAATCATCAGTATGTTCAGTTAAAGAGCTCAATTCCAACTGTGAGCTTTAGTCTAAAAGGAATGTTATCTTGGAATGCATGACTAGGACTTAGATGTCTTGGACTCTATTCCTGGTTCTGGCTTTCTTTTTCTCTGGCTCTGTTTCCCCATCTGTATGGTCAAAGGTTGGGTTGGATTGGGTTAGGTCTTTGACGCCATCTTAAGCCAAGCCTGGCCTGATAAGGTCTGACCTTCTTGTGGCAGGTGAAAACTTGTGAGCAGCCAGTCAGTGTGCTTTTCCTTAATTTGGGGGTGCATGATTGGGGATCGTCTTCCCTTTTTAATTTCTTCTGGAAAAATTGTTGTCTTTTCTAACAATGCTGTAATGAAACTAGTTTTAGTGTTTTTTGTATAAAACTTTAGAAACCCTTATGAAAGCAGCCTTTCTAAAATTTCAGGTGTTCCTCACAATGTGAACCAATTTTTATTGTCCTTCTTCCCTAGGAGTTAAGAGTTGGGTGGGGGGAAACATGATGTTTTCTCCCCCTCCTGGTTTATTTTGCATCAAAATACAATGTAATTAACATTTTGGAGCCATTACACTCCATGGCTTCTGTCCATGAAAATACATTAAGAACTTTTTCTGGAATATCAGTTGAATAAGATCTGTTACACACATTTCCACACTTCAGAGTAATACATTTTTAGTCACCTTTGCTTGGTGTAGCATTTTTATCTTGTGCAGATCTTTACTATTACTTTGTGTGTCTCAGTGACTTTGTTAATCTTAAACACACACGATTAGGCTGCTTTGGGGTGAGAAAATCAGAGAAATAGAGAACTAGGCAATAGTTGAAAGAATTCATGAGTTAGGAGATCTGGATTCTTTTAGCCCCTGTCAACCTCATGTCTTTGAGCCAGTCAGGTTAGCCTTTCTGAGCTTCAGAAAGGTTCATCTGTAGAAAAGGAATAGTAGCTTTTTATCTGTGTAGATTTCTATTTATTCCTATAACCCTCCTTGTGGGCTTAGTGGAAGATCAGATAAAGTAATAAGTATAAAAACACTTGTGAATTGATGAGGTGTGTGACACCAGCAATAGATAAAACTTGCTTCTGAGCTTACAGAGAATTAGTGACAGTGCCAGAATTAGTGCCAGTGTACACCACCCAGCCTAGAACGCTGTTCAAAAGGCCAGTACCAATCTTCTACAGAGCTTTATTATCAGAAAAGAGTGATTTTTCTTCCTTCTCCCTCCTTACCCTACCAGTTAGTTCTAGGTCATAATTTTGTTAAGATTTTAATGCTTTATTTGTTTGATTTATGGTAATTTTTTTTTTCTGCTATTTAATCTGATTAGGAAACTTGTACATAGACTCTAGGCAAAATCTCCCTCCTTCAGTGATGCCACCCCCTGGTTATCCTCATATCCCACAGGCACTCAGCACTCCAGGAACAACGATGGCAGGTAAGTGTGTGTATGTGTTTGTTGCAATTGGTGCTCAGCACTTACTCTTGAAAAGGTTGAGCTGCGGAAAGTCAAGTGTTTGTTTTCTCTCATATGTTGACGTTTACAGAGGGAAAAAAAAGGTATGTGGTCTCATATAAATAGAAAGGAGACCCATAGAACCAAAGGACCAGAGAAAAGGAGAAGGAGAGGTCTAGGGTATGAAACTGTATTGTTATATTGTGTGCATGCATGAATTTGCAACAATAAATCCTATTATGTACAATATATTGCACCAATAAAAATAAATGTAAAATTCTTTAAAAAGCTTAAGCTGTCCCAACGATCAATGATGCTGCTTCAGAAAGGAGTAAATTCTTTGTTGGGGGCCTGGGAACAGAGTAGTTGTGAGAGGATAGGACACTGGCAGGTTATTGGGCTTTAGGGAACCTACTTTGATTAGTTCCTGTAGATTCTGCTCCATTCATTCCAGTGGAGTTCCCTCAGCTAGGGATACTTCTTACAGAGGAGGTAAGTTGAGGACTTCCTAGTTGATAACCTTTTTTCCTCCTCTTAGGTTCCTAAATATAGGGAAAGTTATATTTAGCTAGGGGACTGAAGCACATTGTTAGAGCTGGAAGGTTCCTTAAGGATCACCTAGATGAGGAAATAGGGGCTCAGAAGAAAAGAGAACTTCCCCAGGCCACCCAGTTTGATAGATGGCCAAACCAAGACTCAAGGCATTATTTCTGATTCAGAGTCCATTGTTATTCTCATATACCTAACACCACCCTTTACTTAAACTATATGCGGGAAAGAAAAGGTAATGTGGAGGATGAAGATTGGCTTAAAACTTACAGAGACTTGTGTGCCAGACAGTAGTGAAGAAAGAGTGAGACCAAGTGACACGTGCTTTGATGAAGGGAAAAGATGTTATATTTTGTTAGCACTCACATAGTAATTTGTAGGTGGTGTGATACGTTAGTTCGGACTATGGAGCCAGACTGCCAGGGTTTGAATCCTGGTCCTTTACCACTTAATAGCTATGAGATGTTGATCAAGCTTCTGAACCCTCCTACTTCAGCTTCCCTGTCAGTAAAAGGGTACTAAGAACACTACCTAGCTCTGTGGGTTATTACGAGGTGTAAAGTAACGTAATGTGGAAATCACATAAATTAGTCCCTGAGGTATGGTAAAGACTTTTAAAAGTTTTTGTTAAATAAAAAGCATGCAGGCATTTATTTTTGCTATACCATAATCTACTGAAAGCTTCAGCATTTTATATAATTTTACATTAAAAGTTCTAGGAGACTAGTAAACATTTTGTCATCTCGGTACTAACAAAGATAATGATCCAGTAAAAAAATTCCAAACAGAAAAGATATGCTTAATCACTAATAAAAGAATGAATTCTATGAGTAAATTTCAATCTCTACTTTTAAAAACAATGAAACTGATTTAGAAGGGGTCTGTCAAGATACAGAGACTCGGGCAGAATGCACTGAATTTGGGAAGATCAGACATAGGCCATAGTGATCCAAGAAGAATGCAGGTAGAGCAGGAATTGTGGAGTTAATTCTTTCTCCATGGTTCATTGTTTTCTGTGTTCACTTCAAAAATGTTTTCTGTGTTCACTTAAAAAATGAACTTGCTGTAGAAAATTCAGTATGACCCAATCTGACGTCAATAGTTCACTGACATCATTCTCCTCTTTTCTATTCTTACGTGAGCCAGTTTGTTGCCCAGATGTATTGGAGCAGAACCGAGTGTTTAAAAAAAAAAAAACAAACCAAAAAAACTGTTGTGTCTGCACTTTTCTCATGTCTACTTGCTGCAGTCTGGTATAATGAAAAGAGCATGGGTTTTAGAGTCAGGTGAACTGAGTTCAAATCTTATCTTGGCCCCTTATCGTCAGTGTGACTTTGGTTAACTTGCTCATCCTCTTAAACCTTGTCTGTTTACCTATAAAATGAAGATCATCATATGAGCTAATTGGATGAAGGTTTATTGTATGTGTTGTTTATCTGGTACATAGAAAATGCTCAGGAATGGGTATTGTATTTCATTCTTCTCTCTCAAGTCACTACTGATACTACTTTCTTCCTTTCAGGCCATCACGGAGCCATGAACCAGCAGCACATGATGCCTTCCCAAGCCTTCCAGATGCGGCGCTCCCTGCCTCCAGATGACATCCAGGATGACTTTGACTGGGATTCAATTGTGTAGGGCTTGTGTTCTGCAAGGCATCAGACCCCAGCGTCACCTTTCTGTGCAGTTAAAGGAAAGGTTTTAAGAGAATCCAGTTGAGAAAACAAAGTTGCTAATCACTTCACCAATGTTATCAAAATTTCTTTTGAAGACAATCAAAAAGATTTTAGCTGGATAACTTACTGCTTTTATCTGACCCAAACAAGTACTACATGTTTGTCTCCCTGCCAACTGCCCTATGTAGCTCCTAACTGTTGTGTGATTTGGACAGCTTTTTGCATATTTGTGTCAGTTTGATGTTAACCACAAGTGCCAGACTGATTTTTCAGACAGAGCCTATTTTGCTGCAAGCAGTTTATAGATACATATGTGTAAATATATGTACAAAAATTACTGAAAGACTTCAATTTTTTCTAATTGGATTATTATGTCTTGAAAAGAAAGTTACTGTCAGTTTTTATTCTTGTTAGGCTATTTTCTGCAGGATGCTTTTAATTGATGTAGGGAACTGAAAGGAAATAGATTTTTTCCAAAGCTGTTTCACTTATTTAATCTTTTTCAGAAATGTGGGTAATAATGAATTCTGTCCATTAAGTCAAGGAACCCGGGGTTTGATACTCTTCAAACAATCCAGAGGGGCATGTTGTTCCTGAGCAGCATAAAGAACTGACCAAATTTGTTTTGATGCTTGGGAGGTTATAGAGTATATGTTGTACCTTGTCAATGTCTGTTTCCTAAATCTGCATTATGACAGCTCTGAAATTTGTTTCAATGGCTAGAAGCTGAGCATTGCTTGGCTCTAAACAAATTAATGCCTCCATATTCACTTATGTATTTATTATTCAGAAGTGTTATTTTAATATTTATTACTACCTTCTGTGAATGCTCATCTTCTATTGGGATTCACTAAGGAGAAATGTGGTGTTTGAAAAGCACAGAATTATTTTTCGTGATAAGAGTTTACAGACAAGACAATCAGAGGGATATTGTGTCATTCTCTTTATCATCAATCCTTTTACCAGGTGAGTGTATTTCTCTGTCTTAGCATTCCTGCTGATTGAGACTTAATAGCTAAATAGGATTTTTCTAGAAGTTGAATCAAAGAACATTTAGGCAACAGAACAATAGGACAGGATTCATGAAGCAGGTTTTCCTACTTTCTTCTTTCTGTTTAGGTAGCACTGGAAGGAGGATGGAGCTACACATAGACTGTTCGCCTCAGTGCAGTTACTAAGTGGACTTTTGTTTCAGTTGTCCTGTGTGTGCATGACATTGGGTGGCTTTCTTTGAAATGAAGCCTACCTTGTATAGGAGTCTTTATTAGTTTTTTTGTATTGTTTCATGTCATCTCACAGTTATTTTGCATGGATTGGTTGTCATAGTTTTATAATGAAACTAGAAGAAATGAGTTTTTTTTTCCCTAATGAATAGGTTTTGAATCGATTCTTTAGAGAAAAAAATGTTTTTTTCATTTTAATGGGAATATAAGTTCCATCAAATCAAGGAGGAATGACTGCTCACTGGTTGCTTTTTAGCACCTCTGATCTCTATCAGCCATATGCTAAATCACTTTAATTAGCCTTAGTGATTCTTTGGTTGAGTGATCTCTACTTGAACTAAACATACATTTTTTTTTTTGTTTCTGTGGGTGTATGTATGTGTGTGTGTGTGTGTGTGTGTGTGTGTGTGTGTGTTGTTTTTTTTTTTTTTTTTTTAATGGAGTGTGGCCTTGAATGAGTCACTGGGAAGCCAGCTGTGGTAAGGGCTGGCGACATTGGGGAGGAAGAAAGAGCTTTATGTTTCTTTGTCGTTTGGACTTTGCTTGTCATGAAAGGGAAGCTCAGTTCCAGCCCCTTGGATCAGTGAAAATCAGAGGATGCTGGAAAGGCAGCCAGCAGACCCCTCTTAGAAGGATCAAGGCAAGATGAGATGGCAGCCTGCAGAGTAAAAGCTTCAAAACAGGGGGAGTGATTTTCAGAAGTCTGCTCAAGTCATTGTTTCCTAGTCACCAAAATAGCTGTTCTGAAACTGTCTGAATTGCTTGGGTAGAAATGTGCACTTTAAACAGTTTGGGTATTAGAATGCAGTCTCTTAAACTGAATGATTTGGATAGAAACACCAACAATGATTTTACAAATTTTGTGATGCTAATTTCTCATTTGGTAATCATTTACTGATTTGCAGGGGTCAATATTTTTGTGAGTATTTAAATTTACCAAGAATGGCCTTGGGGGCAAAGTCTTCATCCATACCTATCCCACTCTCTTGTGGCCCAGGTGGCCCAGAAACCCAGGACTGGCATCTGGGCCATGACCAGACAGGGCTATCTGAGAGTCTCTCTACTGGTCATTTCTGTTGGTAGTTGCTAATGCAAAAATGCAAGTTCTGTCTTGGGCTTAGATTGACTAAAGACTTTGGGGAAAAAGAATAATAAATGCATGTAATCAAACGGGGCATTCTGTCCAGGAAAATAATCCGACTGGCATTTGTGGCAGTTTTTGAAATGTAAATGTATTCATGTGTGTTCTTGTAAATATGTGTCTCTCAAATGTCCTTTGAAGTGGGAGGGAAACAATCTGGGGATAATTTCAAATGGAATAGAGTATTTTGATATTGTTCATTCAGAGGGTGATGTGTACATATCTATATTGTATATATGTGATGAAAATGCATTGGCTTTTTGTGCAAACACAAACCTGCTCTCTGTACTGCTGTTGGACAGTCAGTGTTTTAATGTTTCTACAGTTTTGCTATTGCACGATTTCATATTCTGCCTCTATGATGAACGGCACCCATTCTTTGTAACTGTTTAGTGCTGTAAAGAAATATTCCAAGTGTCATTAGGATTGTTGCTGCCAGACTGATATGCATGAATGGCACTTAAAATAAATATATAACGTTAACTCTTAAAACATTGATTGGTCCATGTCATTTGCTGCAGCTGAGGGAGTAAGACTGGAGCTAGTTCAGATGTGGACAGGACCCAGAGCCATTGGGGTATTTGAGATTGTGTCCCAGTGCACTACTGTGTCCACAGTGCTTGCTGCCATTTATTGAGCATCTCACTAGGTCTGTGAATTTGAGGAAGTATTTAATCTCTCTGAACCTCAGTGTCCTTATTTATAGTGCCTGTAAAATGAGGATAATATCACCTGCTGGCATTGGAGTGGAATTACATTGAACGACACATCTAAACATGTAGAATAGCACCCAGAGCATAAAACTTGGTGGTGCTCAGTATGTGCCAGGTGCCATGATCTTCAGATAGAGGTAGAGTGACTTATCTTGATTCTTTAATTGGCAAGTGACAGAACTGATATTTGACTTCAAACATTTTTTTTTTAATAGGATCCTCTCATTCCAAGAGAATTGCCTTATCCCTATTCCACTTGACTGCCAGTCTTGTCCCAGCACTGCTTTCTCAGAGAGCTACTCCTAAAAGGCAAAAGTGGAGATTATAATTTGCCAAGCAAATATTCTGTGACAGCACTTCCCACAGGCAGCCCAGAGATGAGAAAGTTGTAGTTCTGGTTTTAGGGGGTATAGACTTGCCCAAGACAGGTAGCAAATACCAGTCCTGGGAAACTGGTCAGGGAGGCTTCTCTGAAAGTTTTCCTTGGCAAAAACAAGAGTCATGGTGAAGAGGGTGAGTGGGATAGGGTCTAGGAAAGCCTTTTGTGAGTATGGGCTATTCCTATTGAATCTTCAAATTTTCCAAGTTCAGAGAAAGTAATTTTTATTGGCACTATTGCTGTGAACTCCAATTGGGAGCTAGATTATTAGCATGGGGATTGTGGGCTGAGGTGGGAGGGGTGTCAGGCTGCTAGTAAAGCACCAAACATAGTCTTCTATGAAAATGGTGGGGTTCTGACTTCACTGACGTGGAAGTCTCAGAGAGGCCAAGCAACAGGCAGGCCAGTTCTGGGGAAGTTGGAATGGATCCAGGAGTATCTCATGGGGGGGCGGGGGGCTTCCAACCAATCCCATGATCTACCTACAGCCCCTGGCTTCTTCTAATTTAACTTATACAACACTGCCAGAAACATCAATTTATTGCAGTTTTACAGAAGAGAAAACAAGCTCAGAAAGGTTAACTTGCCTAAATTCTCACAGCTAGTGGCAAATCTGGGATAATTCAGCCTGGGTCAGACTCCAGAACTCATTTCCTTTTACTTCCACTGATGTCCAAAAAGAGAAATTAGCCTAGTGCAGTGGCACATACCTGTAATTCTAGCAATTCAGAAGGCTGAGACAGGAGGATCGCAAGTTGAAGGCCAAGCTTAGTGAGGCAACTTAATGAGACAAGTTCAGGCAACTTAACAAGATCCTGTCTCAAAAAATAAGGTCTGGGGATGTGGTACAGTGGTAAAGCATCCCTGGGTTATATCTCCAGTAACAAAAAAAAAAAAAAAAAAAGATTAGAAAAAAGAATTATTTAAATTTTGAGGCAGGAGTAGGGGCTATTCACCCACTGTGTGTGTCCCTGAGAAAGTGGGGCTGTGCTTTCCTCCCATCACAGGTTAAGTTTTGATCAATAGCAGTGCCTTTGAAGGGCACAGTTAGATCTAGTTGCCTTGTTCAATTCAAGTGCATCTTCCTATTTCATCATCAAATGAAATAGGAAACAAAATCATTAAGCTCCATATTAAATTCTCAAGGCTTCAACATTTAGCTTTGTGCAAAGGGCTTCTGGATAAATTGTCTTATTTGATCTACAAAATAACTTGACATGTACAGTTACTGCCCCATTTTACAGAAGAAGAAACAGCTTCAGAGAGGTAAGGCACAATGTAGATGTATCATGAATGCATTCCACTGAAGGAATGCAAATTTTAAATAGTGTTATAATGGAATATTCATGTGCCTCTGAGTGAGACACAAGACTCACATCTGAGACTGTGACTGGTTTCTACTTGTGTGTACTTCTCCACATGAGCATGATTTCATTGGCTAAAGATATACACATTTTAGGCAACATGGACTTTGGGTGTAAGCCTGCTGCTTCATCTGGCACTTATGGACAGATTACAGCCAAGACCTAGAAAAACTGGCCATGTTGGGCTTACTAAGATGGATTTCCACAACACCTATACCTTCCTAGGGGATCCCCCCCCCACCCCAGCATAGCCTCACTAAGTTTCCCAGGCAGGCCTTGAACTTCAGTCCTTCTGCCTCTGCCTCCTGAATTGCTGTGATAACAGGCTTGTGCCACCACACCCGACTCCTAGGGGGTTTTTAAGAGTGATTCTGAACTTTCCTCCCTGCACATTACCCTCTTTATAAGGGAGTAACAACATGTGTGAAGCATAAACTCAGTAATTGGCTGCACACAAAACCAGAATTCAAGCAACAGTGAACCCAGATGTACAGCATAGACAGCTATCGTTTATTAA